CCCCCCCTCACCAGCAGCCGCTGCAGCCCCCAGGCCACCTCCTGCTCGCCCGCGTCCCCGCTCGGGGGGTGCAGCCGCAGGTGCCGCCGCAGGGGGGTCACGGCCTCGGTCACCAGGTACAGGCACTGCTCCGTCTGGGGGGACACTCGGGGTCACCCCCGTGTCCCCCCATTGTGTCCCTCCTTCATCCCCTCGCTGTCACCACCGGCCCTGTCCCCCCAGTGTCCCCCTGTCCCAGCATGACTGCCCGCTCCCCCTGTCACCATTGTCCCCATGTCCCCCCAGCCACCCCCATGTCCCCGCTGTCCCCCCGCTGTCCCCGCTGCCGTCACCTCCAGGCTGTCCAGGTAGCCCAGGATGTTGGGGTGCCGGAGGCTGCGGAGCCGCTTCAGCCCCGCCCGGGCCAGGCCGGTGGCACCGGGGTCGCCCCCCGGGGCCAGGCTGTGAGCGAACACCGACACCGGAGCGCCATCGGCCTGGGGACACGGGGACGGCGGTGACACGGGGCTGGGGCCAGCGGGGCGGGGGGCAGGAGACAGCCGGGCCGGGGGGATGAGGGCTGGGGACACCGAGGGGACACCGGGGGGGACTCGGGGCAGGGATGGCGGGGCCGTGGCCATGCAGGGTGCGGGGACGGGGACACCGAGGGGACACGGACCCCCCCCCCCCCCCCCCCCCTTGCGGCGGCCCCGCAGCAGCCGCCAGAGCGGGGCCGGCGCCGCGGGGTCCGGCTGCGGCTCCGCGTCGGGCTCCGCGTCGGGCGGGCCCAGCTCGAAGGGGAAGTCCCGCACCGGGTCCCGGGAGAAGAGCCACATGGCGGGGCCGCGGCTCCCCGGGGCTCCCGGCGGCTCCCGGGGCCGCAGCGGGCCCGGAGGAAGCGGCGGCGGCGCCGGGCGGGAGGATCCGGTGACGGGCCGGGGGGGCGGGGCCCCGGCGAGCCAATGAGGGGCGAAGGGTGGGGCCTGGGGGAGCCAATGAGAGCGCGGGGGTGGGGAATGGGAGGAGCGAAGGGCGGGACTCGGGAGAGCCAATAAGGGACAGGGGAGGGGCCTGAAAGAACCAATGAGCGGCCAGCAATGAGGAAGGGGCGGGGCTAGAAAGGGGGCGAGGCCAAACCCGCCGGGAGGGGGCGGGGCTTGTACAGGACACGCGGCAGGAAGCGGCGGTGACGTCACCAAGCGGGCCCAGCCCGCGCTGCGATGACGTCAGAGGGAGCAGCCAGTGACGTCATATGCACCAAGGGCACCCCCCCCCCAGCCCCAATGACGACACAGGCGCGGTCGGGGCTCTGCCGTTTATTGGTCACTGGGGGTCCCTGTCGCGACAGGGGGGGCTCACAGCGATGCGGCGCCCACTCGTGGTCCCGCTCCTGTCGCGATACAGGGGCACTGTCGCGACAGGAGCGTCCATCTTCATCTTCATCCAGGGTCCTGCCAGGATCGGAGCCCTTGCAGAGCGTGGACAGACGTTCTTGTCGCGATAGACCATCCCTGTCGTGACACGGGGCACCCCCATCCTGGTACTGTGGGTCACCCGGTGTGGGGCTCTGGGACAATGGGGGGGGTCCCTGTCACGACATGTGGGGCCCTATTACCAAAAGGGGTCCCTGTCACAACATGGAATCGCCCCCGCCCTCGTACCATGGGTCCCCCAAAACCATGTGAACACGTGGGGGGATTCCTGTCGTGATAATGGGTCCTTATCACAATACGGGGGCTCCTATCGCGATATGAGGTCCCTGTCGGGATACAGGGGTCTCCCTTTCCTCTGGATTTCCAGATCCCCAAGTCAAGGAGGAGAAACGGGTGGGGTTCTCCACCACAACATGGGGCTCCCTGTCGTGATATGGGGGGTCTGTGTCGGGACAGGACCCCAGGCCAGCAGCAGCGGCGCCGCGGGGAGTCGAACCCCGCCCCGGGGGGTCCCGGGGGTGCCACCACCGGCGCCTTTTGCTTTTTTTTCGGCCTTTTTGGGTCCAGAGGAGAAAAAGCAAAACCTGAGAAAACGGGGTAAAGTTTTCTCAGGAAAAGAAAAAACCTCCCGAAACGGGGAAAAAAAAAAAGCAAAAAAAACCTCCCCAAAACGGGTCCGGCCCCGCCCCAAGCGACTTGGGGCAAAATGTGGGGAATTTGGGGCCGGAGCGCACCCGAAAACGGGCGGTTTGGGGGGTTTGGGACCCACCACGCGTCCCTGGCGCAATTTGGGCGGAGAAACGGGAATTTTGGGTCCGAGTCACGGCCCAGGCGCAAAACAAGACTCAGAAACGGATTTGGGGTCACGGGCGCATCCTGGTCGCAAAACGGGGCCGGGAGGAGGAAATGAGGGCGCAAAATGGGCTCAGACCGGCGGATTTGGGGTTAATCCCGCGCCCCCGGAGCACAGCGAGGTCCGAAAGGAGGATTTGGGGTTGGCCGCGCGCCCCCGGCACGGGATCGGCTCCGAAACGGGGTTTGGGGTCCATCGCGCGCCCCCCTCGCGGCTCGGGCCGAGAACGGGCGATTTTGGGGCTCGGCGCATCCCGGGGCCCCGCCGGTACTTACTCTGCTGGCTCACCTGTCTTATTTTGGGGGGAATTTCTAGTTTTTTAAGCCTTTTTGGTTTTTTTTTTTGGAGCAAATTGTCCATTTTGGGGCGAATCAAGGCGGTTTTGGCACTGTCACTGTGGGGAGGGGAGAGAGACAACAGCCAGCCCCCCATCCCGCACACCTGGCTCCTCCATCCCTTTGCTTTGGGGGAAAATCCGGGGGAAACGGTACAAAAGCTCCTCCCCCTCCCCAGGCACCAGGCGAAAGCGCTGACTAAGCACTTTTTTTGGGTGGAAAACACCCTTTTTTTTGTTTCAATTCCCAGCTTGGGGGCGGGCCCAACGAGCAGCGCATTCTGAAGCAATTTTAGCAATTTTTAGGGTTTTTTTAAGTGGGTGGGGGGGAAAGCAGCCAAACCCAAAGCTCCCCCTCCCCTTCCATCCCTGGAGTGGCCCATTTTGGGGTGAAAGCGGCACAAATACCAATTTCTGGCTCCCTACTGTTCCTGCAGACCCTGATTTGGGGGTTTTTTTGCCCCAGTCTGGCTCTTGGAGGCTCCTCTGGCGGGGGCAGGGCCGGCGGGGCTGCAAAAAACACCCACGAGACCCCCCCCACACACACACCCTGTCAGCACAACTGATTCTGGGGGGAAAAGCGGCCGAATCGGTCAAACCGCCCGCGGGTCGCGCTTTTCCGCCGGTTTTGGGGGGATTTGGGGTCGGGAGGTGCCCGCATGCCACGTCCGGGGGGGTCCCCGCGCTCCCCCCGCCCCAAACCGGCCGAAAGCGCCCCAAATCTGCCGCCCTCCCCCCCCCACCCCGCGCGGGTCCCGGGGGGGGGCTCAGGGTGGGGGGGGGGCGCACCCGGTACCTGCCACCGCCGATTTGGGGGGTTTTGCCTCAAATTCGAGGCTCCCGCCCCTTGCTCGCTCCTACACTTACTCGTTTTGGGGACAAAAGTCTAAATTTAAGCATTCCTGCTGCTGGTTTCGGGAGAAAAAAACCTGGAAACATGATTATTGTCCCCTCCCCCCACGCCTGCTCCAGCCCCTCCCTCCACGGGGTTTTGGGGTGGGGGTTTACGGTTTTTTTTTCTTTCCTAAGGAAAGCTCCTGGAGCCAAATTCCTGCTCTTCCAGCTTCACTTTGGGGCAAAAAAAGCTTCTTTTTGCTGCTGCTGCTGCCTCCTCTCACTTGCGGCTGCGGAAAGGGCGGAAAACACCCCAAAACCGCCCCCTACCCACCAAAAACCGACCTCCCCAAAAAATGAAAAGAAAGAAAATCGACTCTTACTTCTCTGCATTCCCCAGCTCTGGGGGTTTTCTCCTCAAATCCCTGCCGGAATCTCCTGAGCGCGTTTTGAGTGCAGACTGGCCTTTTTTGGTTAAATCCTCTCTTTTTTTTCCCTTTCCTCGGCTTTTTTTCCCCTTTTTGGTTTTTTTTTTTTGGCCTTTTTTCCCTGCGTTTTGCTGCTTCCCTGAAGGGGAAAAACACTCGAGACACCCCCTCCCCCTTTCCCCACCCCCCACCCCAAAAAAATACAAAACATTTCTTTGAGCATTTCTCTCCCTTTTTTTTTTGATCACCGGCCCCTCCCGCGCGACGCCTTTGGGTTAAAAACAAAAGATTTTGGACACTTACTGAGCGGCGCCGGCGGGAGCGGCGGAGCCGGAGGGCGCTGGAGGAATTTGGGGGGTTTTCCCCATTTTTGGGGAGTTTAATAGAAAGAGGGAAGGGGAAGGGGCGACGGCGGCGGCGCCTGAAACGACAGAACCCCAAAACCCCCCAAATCCCCCCAAAATTCCCAAACCCCCGGGGGGGTGGGGCCTCACCCGGCCGCTGCCT